CTAAGTTCGGACTGGCACCCAGGCTAGTAATTTATGTCTTTGCAGTGGGTTTATGCATTTGTTTTGTTTGCACTCTCCTGCACATCTTTTTTACAGTGTTTTCTTTCCTTCCATGCATCCTGTGTTATTCTCATGTTTGTATTTATAGTATACAAAAATAGAAGTAAACTTTTATTGTCCTTACATTGTCAGAAGTACAAAGCAACAAATTAAACTCTTTGCATTTAACCCATCCCCTTGGGGAGCAGTGGGCTACCATTGTGTGGTGCCAGGGGAGTAGTGTAGGGTTAAGCCGGGAATACACTGTGCAATAGTTTCAATTGTTGACTGCTGCTACAGCTCATACCGTACGACGAAACTGCAGGGTTTAAAAGTTTCCAGCTCACGATGTATGTTCTCACACTGTGTGACCCGACGCTCTGATGCGATCTACCTGCTCACACTGTACGACTAAAAACCACGTAGGACTCAGTTCCATAGTGAGGTGGCACTACTCAGACTCATCTATCCAGAAACCAAACGAGTAGAAGAGGAATATGAAGCTCACTAGAGTAAAACGCGCTGCCTTGGTAATTTGCGTAATTTTGTGCTGAAAGCCCTAAAAAGAAAAGGCGACGACATATTTAGACAAAGACATGGCTGAGCAAACATGGCCACTACGGTCTGTCAATTTTACAGAAAGAACTCCATTTCACTAATTGCACCCCCGCCATGCTTCTGTGTAAGGTGCCCACAAACACCTTACGATGGCCGACTGAATTTCAAACATGTTTGATTTTGTTCCGACCTGATGGGGAGGTGGTGGTGAGAAGCTAAATGCCCCTCGTTACCCCCTGTATACTGAACAACGGGCAATCAGGCTGAAAGTCGGCCCGATTGAAAAATTCTTGCACGACTAGAGAATCAGACCAAAAAGGGCAAACAATTGTAGAGTGTAAAGGCCCATTCATACCTCACGTAAAAGACGGATACGGATACGTGTGGAGTGTTTCATACGTTCTAACCGTCGATTTCGTCCGTACTTTGACACGAAAATTGGGAGCTTACGCTTACAGACGAAACGGATCAATACGGAGCAATACTACCGGAAACGGTGGGGGCGCTATTGAGTTTTTAGTACAAAATGTCAACGGAGCAAATGCAACAGAATCAGGTCTTGGACCATCGCCATGTTTTGATCAATGACGAATCATTGGCGCCCAGCACTGCCACCTAGAGGAAATACGGGTTATTGCGCACCTCAATGGACGGAGGTATGAAGGAGTCAACGGATAGAATGTACAGACAGAAATACGGACGTGCAGGCCAAACGTGAGGTATGAATGGGCCTTTAGCCTGACTTTAAGGACCTTGCTCAGGAACCCAGAGTAGATGTGGGGATCGAACCAGGTACTTGCCACCTTCTAAGAGCACAGGCTCTAACCACTAGCCGAACACTCCCCCCAACAACGTACATTTGCTGTCCCAATTTGTTGTGCATCATGTATTTTTAGAGCACTTGCACCCCTCATCTACTGCACTAAAGGCATTTCTTTCCTGCTGGTAAAATGAGTTTGCATAGATCATTACCAACAAGGCTAGTAACTGTTGTGTTCCTGAAGAAATCAAGTAATCAGCTTTTACCTAACCTAGAATTTCTTTCTTAGTTGAACAAATGTGCTCAAATTAGTTGTTTACATCTTTGATTGTGGAAGTAAGCTGCTGTAGAGGAATAACTTTTCTTTTCTTTAAGTTTCTATACATCTTTACCAAAGTTGAACTTTCTAACATACATTAGAAAGATAACACACTCTGAAACAAGAGGGAAATCTGCATAACAGAAATTGACAACAAAAACAATCCCGCTAAAAATAATCAAGAAGGATTAAGCAAACACAAACCATGTTTAAAGGGTGTTAGACTTTGGGTAGCTTGTAAAACCCATAAACACAAATTGTAAGTAAGGCTTCCACTGGAAGCAAAGACGTATGTCTCCAAAAAGGTAAATGGGTAAATACTGAATGCCACATGATGTGAAAGCAGGTGCTGGAGTGCTAAACAGTCCTGGAGCCGTCGTTCGTGATCCTCGGATCAAAGATGGCCGTCTTCACACATTGCTCTTCATCACTAACATAATGGGGGGGAGGGGAGAAAGGTGTTAGGACCATCTGGGTAGACTTTTGGAGCAAAGATATAATACTTTTATGTGCAACTATATTTATTTCTTCAAAGCAGCAAATTAAATTGGTCTCAACACAGAAAGATGCATCTCATCTTGTTCTCTGAATACTTCATTTGTGCTTCATTAGCGGATAATCAAAAGCATTTGATTCCAATTGTCATTATTTATGCAACGCAGCATAAAGGGGAAGGAACATGAGTGTTTGAGGGTTTATAATGATCAACATCCTGCACTGACTGATCATTTCCTCCTGGGGTCTGTTTTGCGAAGCAGGTTTAACAAACTCTGATTTAAACTGAACTCTAAATTGATCTAGCTTAAAGTTGGGAACTCTGAGTGCTCAGTTTCACAACAGCTGCTATGAATTAGTCAATCCACTCCAAATAGAACCTATCAGAGTTTAGTACGTGCGTAACAAGTATGAAAAGCCATTGTCAGTGGAGCACCAATTCGATGAGTCACCTTGACGACAGGCAACAGGAAGTGCCTATTTTACCCTTACTGGAACTAGAGATCTTAAAGATAGCTCTTTCATTATCCCGAGAAGGCATATGAAAAAGAGAATGTCGAGTTTGACCGCTGGAAGCTTTTATACCTACATGCTCTGGTGAGATTAAATTTTGGCCCAGCAAAGTGTTGGGCAGACAGTTGGACTTGTTTCTATGTCCACATTCATGAATTAGGTTAATACTCTAATTAAAAATACAGTCTTTGAATCATGGCCGTCATCGCTGGTTCATTCTCATGATGAAAAAAGTCGACAAGACTAGATTAATTTGTTCCTGTTTTGTCAGCATGGTTGTACATAACCCTAACCCTACAACACCCAAATATTTTGAGTAAAATCTGTAAAGTCAAACCTGATGCTTTGCCCCTCGACGTCTTCAATGGTGTCTGGTAGAGGTTTGTTGACCGTCTCAGGCAGGAGCAGGGTCAGTCCAGCGCCCAGCAATGGACACAGGCCAGAGAGAACCATGGGAGCATGAGGGTGGATGTTTCTTAGAAGGTATGTCATGGGAGCCAGGACCCCTCCGATCCGTGCACACATGGATCCTATGCCAATCCCATTTTGCCTATAGAACGGGGATAAAGCAGGCAGACCGGTTATAAACCTGCAGCTGACTGTGTTTAATATAAAGGTTTTCAAATACGTTTTTACTCAAGAACACACAGAAATGCACGGCAGGCCAACACTCACCTGATCACAGTTGGAAATACTTCAGCGGAGTAGACATAAATGATAGACAGAGAGGCAGTGATTCCAAACTTCCCAATCATGGCCAGGACTGTTCTGACAATGGGCAAGTCTACAGAAAAGGTGATAAAAAAAAAGACTTGTGACCAAACATTCAAAAACAGAGGGTAGAACACAGCTTTTTATTAGATAAGAGTAAAGACTGTCCGTTTGTGTCATGAATACTTACCGCTAGGGATGCAGGTTGTTAAGAGGCAGGCAGAACCTCCCACTGCTAGAAAAGCTAGCTGGGAGAACTTGCGTGAACGGTTAAGGGTGAACAGCGTGATTGTGCGTGCAGGCATCTCCACCAAACCAAAGATCATCTGGGTTAAGAAGATGTTCATTCCGAAGTCGGAAATGTTGAGGGACAGGCTGTAGTACACCAGGACATTGACAAACCTGAAGCACGGATCAGAAAACACATGTCACCTGTTTGAAATCCTAAAGCAGGGGAAACAAATTAAAAATCTGCTGGGTCCGAATAAAGGACCCTGGTCTGCTAATCCGTGACCTCCGTTCTAGTAAAGTGATCATAAGATCCCATCCAAAGGTTCTAGCAGTTAAAGGTGCAGTAGATCTTTTCTGATGCATTTTTTACTATGTGTCTTAAATATCTCCCCATAGCTGCTTAGCAGGCCATGAAATAAAAGGTCTCGAAGTGAAACCAAAATAAATGCTCCCCGCTACAGTGAGAAATCAATGAATAACCCCAACCAATCACAAAAGACGGTCCGTTGTACATGATTGGTTCCATGACACGTCTGCTTGACCCCCCCGTGCGCATACCCTGACACATGAAACAATCGACCCCCCAATGTTCGTGCAGGACGCCGTGGCTGGAAGCTAGCCACTGTTATGCTACGTTTACACCTTGTTATCACACCTTATTATCGTTGTCTGGGCAACCCCAATGTTTTACATCCTGTGGCAACGCTCAACCTATCATGTAGCGTAACATCACTGGCATGCACCAAAAATTTTCCTTTAATAGGCTAATGCAGTAAAGCATCTGTCCTTAACATTTTTCCTGCATTACTTTTACCTTTTTACTTTAGTTGTTTTAAAAATGGTACTTTTGCACTTTTACTTGAGTAAAAAGCTTAAGTTCACAATCTAACTTCTACAAAAGTGTTTTTAAACAGTAGGATTTCTACTTAAGTAATAAACATTAGTACTTTGACACCTCTGTGCGTAATGAACGCCATGTTCAGGCATTAGGATCTCTGTCATTGCACTTGGCACCAGGACACTGTGCTGGAGGTGGATGATCCTCTTGGTAGTTGTCGCCGTAATAATAATTAATGATTGAACTTTATTGTTCAACACTGGAGAAATTTACCTCTGCATTTAACCCATGCCCCTAGGGGAGCAGTGGGTTGTCATCATGGGGCGCCCGGGGAGAAACTCAGAACCTCAGGATTCCAAGCTCTATGCACTAAACACTAGGCCACCACTCCCTTTTTTTATTAATCTTTTCTTAATAAACAAGTAGGATGACAAGTAGAAATTCCCTCATAGTTTTGTAGTCAAGATCACACCAACTGAGACCAAGGAGTACAGAGACCAGGCCAAGACCTTACTGTATATGACCTAAAGGTAAAGGTCTTTGCCTCTAAAGTTCTTAGCCTAGTCTTGGTCTCGGTACTCCTTGGCCCTAGTTGGTTTGGTCTTGACTACAACAGTATTCTTTTGTCCAGTGAAATTTCTTTTTTATTATTTAGCCAAGTGTTTCCAGCTGCTTAATTCTTTGAAGAAAGTCTTTAAGAATGACATCTTCATTCTGGCTGTTTTTTTGTTTGTTTGTTTGATTTCAACTAGACTGCTTTAGACCTTCTGCTGTGTGGTCATTTTGCAACAGGGCAAAAGCAAAGAAATGATGTTTTATGTTGCAAAGTAATTTTTTTAAGCCTGTAAAACTTTTTTTTTGAGTCACAGGGGTTGGGTTTTGTTGTAGAAACCAATGCTGAGGCACAATATTTTTGGCCTGATCTTCAGAGTTTCCAAACAACAGACGCTACATTGCCAGTTAATGTTTCCTTTCCTCATTAATATTATTCCATTGTTGTCGTTTCTGATGGTCTAAATCGAGGTTCTCTCTCCATCCTATACTATAATATGAAAGCAACAATGACTGCAGATAATTATACATGTCAGTTTGCACCACACCCTAAACTACTAAAATAGAACTGCGTCTTTTTAAACTAAACTAATAAGTTGAGTTTCCAATATGAAAAACAGCTTTGCATGTGGTAAATGTTAACATTTGCATAAGCACGAATTTGCAAGGATTGGGCATTAAAATGTGATCTACATATATATTAAGGAAAAAAGGTTTGCACACGTCTGTTGTCTGTGGGACTTGGAATGGAAATCACTTTGCAGGTTTTTTTGAAGATCAGCCCTCCTTGTAAAAACACGTTGGCACCTGTTTTAAGACAAACAAGTCTTCTGAAGATCACATGCCTTTTGTTTTGGCTTGGACCCTGGTTGGCATTTTAAAGGTGTTGTTCTTAATGTGAACACAAGATGGTACCAGAGAGGGAAATGAGGAAGCCGCACACAGGAACTGTTTAACAGGCTTTAAGGATTTCTTTTTAAGGTTCTTTATTGAGATGCTGGTATTGTGATGTTTTATTCTCCTTTACAAAATAAATAGGGGACTTTTTACTGAAAATCAAATATTGAAAGATGATTAATAAAAATATTTTAATGGCGGCTCGCCTTTCATTTTTAATGAGATATTTTGAAGAATCAACAGCCCCTCAGGAATAATTACATTCTATTGAATTCTATTTTATTCTATTCCAGTGAAGTATCACTGTTGGCATACAGAGTAGGAACCCTAAATGTTAATCCGAGCTGAAATTTAGATCACTTTGCATGTTTTATCAAAAAACAACAGGAGAAATGAATCCAAGGAATCAATATTCGAACTTAGTTATTCAGAGAGTTGGCCTGAAACTGTAAATGCAGGAGAGTCTTGGTTCCAATAGCAGGTTTTCTTGCTCTTCCTTTTTTGGGGAAACAGGCTTTGATACAAATAATAAGAGCAGTTCAGTATTGATTTGGGACATAACCTGGCCTAACTTAACTGTCTTTGTTTAGACCAATATTAAATATTTTTACTTTCAAAAACATGCAAATATGACTTTCTGCACTGAAAGAACAAGAACCTAATGTCAGGTCTTGCACAGGAGGTAAACTTTGCATCAACTTGTTAATCAGCCACTGTCAGTGTTGCAGAAAGCCTCCAGGCCTTAACCTGTCAGTGATATGACATATTTTGACTTTTCTATCTGGAATGTATTGAATGCCTAACACCTTTCTGCAGCTCAGAATTGACATTTTGACACAATGCAGCTAAATGTTGTGACATGATCAATGGTTATGGGGAGTGGCGGTCTAGTGGTTAGTGCATAGAGCTGGGAATCCTGAGGTCTGGGTCTCTGAGCAAATCCCTTAACCCCACACTGCTCTGTAGGCACTGCACAATGGCAGCCCACTGCTGCCATTGTGCTGGGTTAATGCAGAGTTAAATTTGTCCTACAGTATGTGAGATCAATAAAGTTCAGTCATTAATTATTATTATGGAGACAAGTGCAAAGAGGATCATCCACCTCCAGCACAGAGTGTCCTGGTGCCAAGTGCAATGACGGAGATCCTAACGCCTGAACATGGCGTTCATTACGGACAGAGGTCAAAAGTATTAATGTTTATTACTTAAGTAAAAACAATTTTGTAGAAGTTAGATTAACTACTTAACCTTATTACTCTAGTAAAAACGTAAAAGTAATGCAGGAAAATTGTTAAGGACAGATGCTTTATTGCTCTATCCTATTAACGGAACATTTTTCTACAATTCTGGATGATGATTTCCTTTTACTTAATTTTCTTATTTTTATAACTAATGGTAATGGCAGTATCAAAATTAACTTCGCATCATCTTGAAAAACAATTTTGGTATGTGGAGAACAACAAGTTGGCGCAGCACCGAGTCCAACCATAAAGAAATTAATTATCTGGATAAAACAAATTATCTTGATGGTTTTTATTTCTTTTTAAATACCAACAGGCCATAAAGAAAATTAGCTTAAATGAAACAAAACTAATGAGTCTATTTTTAGTAGAAAGCAGATATAATTCCTAAAAATTGGAAGGTTTAGAAGTAAAAAAGTTGTCTAAAAAATAATTACTGCAGCAAAGCCAAAATTTCTACCTAAGGTAGTGAAGTATTTGTACTTTGTTACTGGACACCTAAGATTATGGACACTCCCTAATTAGCCATAATTCGCTGGTTTGACTCCATTTAAGTAACCCTGGCAGTAGTCAGATTGATACGCTACAACTGAGTTGAGTTCTACGTTGTGAGACTCAAAACTCGGATCTTGATCCAGCTTACAGGGCAAGGATACCATTTAAATCCTGCATATCGCTCTCACTGCACGCTCAGGTCAGTTCCACAAATATTGCGCCATAATCATTGCTGCCATACTTCAGCAGCATGGAAGTGACGATTTTGGCGGTCCCAACTAAATGCAGTATAGAACCGTTTTAATAGACTCAGTGCCTTGGTACCAAACTAGTACTGGTATACCAAACATCTTTAATCAGGACACTGAAACCGCTGCACCTTGTTGAGATGGCGTTTCAATTATCAACAGTAGCAACCATTCAAAATGGCCCTTCCCAGTCAAATGCCAGCCACTGGTGTGACCCCCTCCTTCTCCTGGGCGTGCATATTGTCTACTCTGACTCCACCCTTTCACTGAATTACAGGGTCTGACCAGGAGATGACGCTTCTCTTTAGATCGTAATATCCACAAATCATGACAGAAAGAATATTTTAGTACAAAGATTGATGTTTCCAAAGGAACTGTAGAGGACTAGCCAAGGACCCATCAAGGAAAGTATGGACATTTTGAATGGTTACTGCTGTATTCCAAAAAATGAAATATAAAAAAAACAATCCACTGGACTTTGTTTCCAAGTTTGAAGATGTTTCTCTTCCCATCCAGGAAGGTTTTAATTCAAAATGTCAGGAACAGCGTTGAGTTCGAGGTTTTATACAGCAGCCCAACAAAGCCAAGCTTTTTTTTTGTTGAAAACAAGCAAATAGAAACGGACAAACGGGTCCACCCCCTTGGAATGGGGGTCGTTTGGCTTCTTTGCTAGCCCGCAATGCCTCATACCTGTCTATGTCTCTGAAAGGATGAATAGGTGAGGTCTTCTGCAGCAGCAGGGTGGACCCGTTCATCCGTTTCAATTTGCATGTCTTCAAAAAAAAAACAAGGCAGCTTTGTTGGGCTACTGTATAACACCGCAAACTCAAAGCAATTCCTGACATTTCGAATTGAAAAAGCTTCCTGGATGGGAAGAGAAACGTCTTCCAACTTAGAAAC